TTATGAACCGGAACCGGCCCGCCATATGTCCGGTTCCGGGCTGAAAACCGGCTTTTCCGGGCCGGTCCGGGCCGGGTTCGGTCCGGGTCCGGGCCGGTTCGGCGGGCCGGTTCAACCCTTGGCCATGTCTAGTTGTGCAACTGAAAAATCAAGATGCTTTATTCTAATGTAAAACTCCATAAGTGTGCCACTTGATTATATGATTAATTAGAGCATGATTGTTTACAAGATTTTTCAAAAAAATTCCAACATTTTAACTCAACCACTTTTTTTAACTCAACTTTAACTCAATCCTATTATCATCAATATAATTAAATAATATCAATCAATCAATCACACACACCACATCAACCTTAATTCACTATTCATCCACTCACATTATTTTAACTAACTATCACTTCAAATCATCTCTCTCATATTTTTACATCAAATCAATTTTAATTATTTTATTTTAAATATTATTTTAATATACCCACTAACACCTAACCATACCATCGTTTTTAAAATTAACCAAACCAAATAAAAAAACCTGAAGCAAGCTCAAGTGCTCAGTCCTCCTCGAGCTAGCTCTTCACTATTTTATAATGAGCCAAGCCCAGATACTTTGCAGAATGACTGTGTTGGGCTCGACTCTACTCATTTGCAGTCCTAATTATTGATAATTATCACAAAAGAAAATTAAAAGAAAAGAGGTAAAAATAAATAATCAAAAAATTAATGTCCTCGGGCTCGTCACTTTTCTATATGAGCCTTGCTGAGGCACTTGTAGAACGCCTCGACTTGGTTTTTAACTCATTTACAGTTATGATTATGAGAATCAGTCTCAACCACTAAAGAACCGGTCCAAAACAGGCAAAACTGGTTGATTGGACAATTTCATTTTTTTTAAATAAAGTTAATTTTAATATTTTTGAATATATCTTTCATATAAATAAAATACATATTTAAATATTTTGGATACTTATTATATCAATTAGTCAAGACATTTGAATATTTAAACTATCAAAATATTTAATAAAAAAAATTATATATGAAATTTATTACTTAAAATATGTTTAAAAATATCAATAAATTAAAAATCGAGCCAACCGATTCAACCATGGTTCGATCAACGAACTATTGAACGCTAGTAGCCTAACATGTTCAATGACCATTTTGATTCTCATAACTTTGTTTGCGGCCCTAATTTTTGGTAACTTTCGAACAAGAAAAGAAAAAAGAAAAAAAAGGCACAAATAAATAACCAAAAAGTGTCCTCGAGCAACTCACTTTTTCTACATGAGCCAAGCTCGGACACTTTGCATAACGGCTCGGCTCAACTTATTTATATCCCTCAGTATCAATAATTATTATCAAAGTGGCTATCGCTTGTTGAAAAAATCTCTCGAGGGTCTGTCGAGTTCTAGCACAAATTTGAACTTGAAATGGTGGAAAGTGTTGTGGAAGTTTCGTCTCCCTGCAAAAATAAAATTTTTTATCTGGAAGCTGTCTCTTTCCGCTATACCATCTAGCGAAAATTTGGCACGGAGACACATTAGTGTGGATGGTAGATGCCCCAGATGCGGAAGTCGTGAAACCAACTATCACCTTTTCTTTGAATGTAAGTGGACGAAAACGTTGTGGAAATATGCCGGATGGTGGGATGAAGTCCATGGTTTTTGGAGGGGAGATTTTATCCAGTTATTTGTGGCCCTTTTGTCCGGGACTCGGGGTGACGAACTCCGCAGTTTTGTCATTGGCTTATGGCTCATTTGGTATGAACGAAATCGTTGTCGAAAAAGGCTCAAGGGAAGGGATGCAGAACAAGTGTGGGAATTCGGGTTGGCTTGGTTAAAAGAATTTGATTATGCTAGTTCGGGCTTC